GACAAAAGGCTGAATTTGGTATACCAAATCCCTAACGCCATCGGATCCTGCGAGGACAGGCAGCCTGCTGGGCAGAGAGGGGGCTTTGGAACCATACAGACCTCAGTGTGCATCCAAACTATATGCCAAGCACTGCGGCAAATACTTTATAAGCATCTTCTCATTTCATCTCCACAGCAACCCTCCCCCAAACCAAATTCACTGCCATTGAGTCAATTCTGACTCATAGCGACCCCCATTGGGTAATCAAGGCTGTAAATTTTTATGGAAAGAGACTGTCTTGTCTTTCTTCCATGGAATGGCTGGTGGGTTTGAACCACTGATCTTGTGGTTAGCACCCAAATAATGCCTTAACCACTTATGCCACCAGAGCTCCTTCACAGCAACCCTAGGAGATGGATATCATCATCATCATCATCATCATCACCATCATCACCATCTCCAGGGTTGTCCTTTCCAGGGCTCAGGGAGCAGTGCTTCTCGGAGGTCCTTCTGTGTGCCTCTAGCCAAAATGCCCATTCAAGTGTGCCTGGTAGACTCGCCTTCCCATTGGACTGTGCACACTCCAGGGGGAGGAACTGTGTTCCGGCCTTTGTTATGCTAGTCTCACTTTTCTCATCTGTAACACAGGGATAATCTGAAGCTCTTCCAGGTTGGCTGGCTTAATGGGGTGACGTATGTAAAAGCACCTGACGTGTGGCCTGGCACTTCGCCCGCCATGCATGCTTAACAGCACAATGAATATTATCTGAAGCTCCTGCCACTCCTGTGAGAGGATAATTTCCTTTCCTCTAACTCCACTGAAGGACTTGTTCACATTGTGGGCATACCCACCACCCATAGATCAACTGAGGCTGGCCCCCACTAGTCTTGTTCCTTCACACTTTTCCTCACCTTCCATCTGGGTGTCTGGCTGAGGTCTTCTCAAACCTGTAGCTAATACTGTAAGTGGAGGAACTAGTTTTATGACAAGCGAAGAAGAGCCTTATGGCCACATCTGCCTTTATGTTGGTTTTTATGGAAACAATCCAGGTGTTCTCAGTAGCAATGGCTTAAAGCACAGGAGCTGCTTGATCAAAAGGAAGTCTAGGATGGTTCCCAACTGGGCAGTGTCCAAACGCTAACAACCAGTGGTAACAAAGGAATGGATATTTGGAGATACCATCTTCTCACAGGTGCTCATGGAATGAACTGGTCAAGGGCTGACTGAGTGGGTACCTTGGACTTCCTGGTTGTTGCCCACAGATTCTCTTCGGGGCAACTGAATATATGCCTTACCGGCTCCGGCTAGGATGGCTCACGACAGACCAATAAGCTCCTCCATTTTTATAAAGCCACTGCACTGTCTATAAGTGCCAAGACATTAAAATCAACCAGACGGCCAATGTCTTTGGCTTTGGTTTCAGTTTTCTCTCCCATTGCTCCTTTCAAAATGGCTTCATAAAGAAGCTAGAGAGTAACACAAAGTCTGGTGTGCTCCCAACCCTGACTCTTGCCATTGAAATAAATGGATTTTTTAGAGGATGGACATGATGTCACTATACAACAGTATAACTCTACAGCCCTCTGTTCCGGGAGTTAAAAGTCCAAGGTTAGTTCTATTCCACGACTAACACGGCTCAGACCCATAGAAGCTGAGGGAAGCAAAAACTGCTGGGGCTCCCTTTCTACAGAAGGTATGAAGGTTTAAAGTCAAACGTACTTTTATGTTGTTGGGTTTAATCACTAAAGAGTACAACTGCTCACATTTGAACTCTGACAATGGTTTGGATTATATGTACACACAAGCATTCATTAATTTTCTGAGTTTCCCAAAGAGGCTCAGTTGCTATACTTTAAAAGAAAATGAAAAATACATCCCCTCCTATGAATTAAACTCACATCTTTAAAATCCTAGAGGATTCTAAATCCTAGAGGAGGGCACAGGGTGTCATCCTTTGGATAACACCTCATAAAAAGCACTCTATGCCAGTGCAGTATACTGGGTAAGGAAAGACCCAGTTCTTGAACAGGCCAGTCATAGTGCTGCCAAGAACAAAGAAGGGGTTTGACTGGTTCCAAGTCTGCACTCAGGCACACGTTTGACCAGTGTTCGCAGACCTAGTACCCATGTGTGAATTCTTACAAACAATCTAGGCTCAAATGGAAGATCTGTGCTTTGTCAACCAGGGAAAACAGGCCAAGTTGAAGAAAACTAGAAAGCATCCCAGTAATGACAGGATTCTGTTTTACAAGACTCTAATCTCTCTGTCCTGCAGTGAGTAGTGGAAGCAGGCCGAGGACATTAGCTGGCCTTGGGTGGGCATCCTTGTGCTGCAGGGCTGACGTAGTGGCTCTTTCCCTCCGGGCTCCAGTCACGTCAGTCTGCGTTCACTCTGAATGTTCTTTATCAGTCACCTGGAGGATTATCCTGCCAAATGGAAAATCCTACAAGCTGCTTAACCAACACACTCTAGTAAGATATGGGAGACTGATAGTCATGGCTGAGCTGGTAATAATTTGTAAGTTGAAAATAAAAATAACGATTACAGCTCTGATCTGTGTAAAATCCATCACATGTCCTAAGAAGGGAACTCCATTCAGCTGAAGTCTGATGGACAGAACTTGGACTTTAAATCAAGCTGCCAGAAAGAGAACAGCTCATTCATAACACTGAATCCAGTGTCCTCTCACTTTATGCAAGTTTCCCCCGGAGAACTGTCCAACCCTGTAGCTGTCAAGTTGATTCTGACTCATAGCAACCCCTTAGGACAGAGTAGAACTGCCCCATAAGGTTTCCAAGGCTGTCATCTTCCAGAGAAGCAGACTGCCACATCTTTCTCCTGAGGAGCAGCTGGTGGGTTTGAGATGTCAACCTTTCCATTAGCAGCCCAGTCATTATCAGATTCCACCAGGCTACCACGTGCTGCTTGCACAAATGCTGCCTCTAAAACACTGTGATTGATGAGTTGATTTCAATAGTGGCAAGCTATTGAAATATTGCACTTTATGCATATTTCACAGCAGGAGCCTAATACTCTTGCTTTTTGAGTAAGATCATTGTACAATGGAAAAAATATGTACATTAAAGAAATGTGTCATGTTGGAAACCTGTGTTGATTTCCTAAAGGCTAAAGTGTGTGTGTGTATGTGTGTGTGAAAGAGAATTTTATTGACTTTTCCATGGGGGTGGTGGGGCAAGAGTGGCAGCGGGGAGGCTAGGATCTTAGCGTAGTGCCTAAGGCACTTGGCTGCTAACCAGAAGGTTGGCAGTTCAAACCCACCAGCCACTCCTCAGAAGGAAGGTTAGGCAATCTACTTCCGTAGTGATACTGCCTCGGAAACCAAGAAGGGGTCGCTATGAGTCGGGTCCGACTCCACGGCACACAACAACAACAACAGGATGGCAGGGGAAGTACAATGTGAAATGTGATTAACGGAACAGTTGAAATGGAAAATATCAGAAACGATTTCGATTTTTGTGTTTCCACATAATTTGGTTCTTCAATCAGGGTTATGTTTTTTATTTCCTCTCTCTCTTACTTTTTCTCATTCTTTAAATTGAGGATTTCGGGTGATTGAAATGGAACTCTCACTCAGAAGGCACAGATCAGGCTAGAAAACCAAATGAGACCTGGTAATGGGGTCAGGGCTTGGGGCTTTGCTACTACTGTGAACCACAAACATAAGAATGCCATTGACTTTCTTAGAGCCCCAGTCTCTTTGGGAGTCATTCCCAGTTGTTTTATGCAATTGCTGTGATCTTCCAAAAAGGTGAGCAATTCAGTTCGAGTGTGCCATTACGCTTGAACGTCATAAATGATTTCATTTTGAAAATTTTCACATGTGTGCCTATTACTCACGCAGCAGTCCACTTCCATTTTCTGTTATTCGGAAGGAAAGAAGTTGGGAGAGAAAGACTCCCTTGATACATTCTTGGACAAATGGAAATTACAAGATCTACAATAGTTAATCTGAGGGGACTGGTTTCTCCATACCCCTCCTTCAGTTAACATTAATAAAAAATGAAGACAGTGCTGAGTGAATTGCAGACCACTCGTTCCTGAACTCCATCCTTGTGCCATGTTACCTCTTACTCCATCTCTTCCCAGCTGCCCTTGTTTGCTTTAATATACAGTCACCAGATGCTCAGCCAACAACCAGGTCTTGAGCTGACTGGCCATAACGACCCACTCACCATTTCCCATCCAATCAAGGCTGCTTAGACATGCCCCTTGTCCATCCTAGTCAGTGGTGGCTGGATACCATGTATACTGATGTCTGTGGCTAAAGCCAGTTGAGATTTTTTTTCACTGAAATCACTGCCTTCAGTGGTTGTGTTTGTGTCACAGGTAACCCTGTAGACAGAGTAAGACTACTCCATAGGGTTTCCAAGGCTGTCAATCTTTACAGAAGCAGACTGTCTCATCTTTCTTCTGCAGAGCAGCTGGTGGGCTCAAACCACCAACCTTTTGGGTTGTTGTTGTTGTTGTTGTTATGTGCCCTCGATTCAGACCCGACTCATAGTGACCCCTCCTTGGGTTTCCGAGGCGATATCACTACGGAAGTAGATTGCCCCAACTTCCTTCTGAGGAGTGGCTGGTGGGTTTGAACTGCCAGTCTTCTGGTTAGCAGTCGATTGCTTTAGGCACTATGCTACCAGAGCTCCCAACCTTTTGGGGAGCAGTCCAATACTTTAACCACAGTGCCACCAGAGATCCTGTGATCATTGTGAGTCAGAACCCACTCGGTGGCAGTGGGTTTAGTTTGCTTTTTGTAATGTGTCTACATCATTAGAGTGCGTCAGGTGATCACATTCATTTTGACTGCTAACTGCTTATCGTGGACAATCTTCCCCCTCCTAACAGAGCTCCATAGTAATATGAGTCAAGGTTCATATTTTCAAGAAATGCAAGGGAGAAGTATAATATTCAGTCAGCACTGAAACTCTGTTTCCTTGCCAAATACCCCCAAGAGGCCTGGTTAGAAACCCAAGTACTCACAACTTGAATGATACTGACTTTGTAGAAGCTCTGCTGGTTGGGTCACTCCACTCTGAAAAGAAAAGGTGCAAACACTTACTCTGCATGCCTTCAAATGTCAAAAGACTTTCGGGCATTAATTGGTATCCAAACATGCAGCCCTTCCAGCTCTACTGTTTCACAGCTTCCTGCCATGGACAGGAGGTGACTTCCTCCCCTCTCCCAAGAGAAAAACGAAAGAAAGAAAAGAAGAACAAACTAGTTGGATGTATCACAATTTTTTTTTTAATATTTTAATGTTAATGAGGTAGGAAAGAGGGAAAAGTGATAGGGGAGGAAAGGACATGGCTGTTTGGACTAAGAAGGATTAAAAAACACCTACTTTGCAAGGTGAATCCTGGGGTCAGATGTTGGGATTCCTATAAGAGAGAACATATACAACATAAACATTAGTTATGTGACACAAAGGAGAACAAACAGTATATGCTATCGCTGAAGATACAATTTGATTAATGTTGTCAATAGGCCATCACTGTTAGCAAATCCATTAATTCAGCTCCTGTCTGTAGCTTTGCTTGACAGATAAAGATTTGCTCATCAAACCTGCTGCAACATGATCAGAACTGTCATTTTATTAGAATTACAAGTAAGACTGGTATCTATTTGGAAATGGGTGCAACCTGGGAACAAATTACCTGCATGTGTGCAGTCCGAGTGTGTAATTTCTCTCAGGAAGTAAAGAGGCCTTGGTGCAGACAAACAAGTGATTATGGTTTTGGTAAGAAGTGTAAACAACATGTAATTAATAGATTGGCTCATTTGTCTCTTTTACTGAAATAACTCAAACTTTCTACCTTATAACTAGGACACACGTGGAAACAGATGCACCCCATTTTTCACAAGAAATGTCGACTCATTGTGACCCCTCCTTGGGTTTCGATGTGTTCTGAAAACTTCATTGCACCTTTGAGGTATAGGAAGTGATTTGAAATATACTAGTGGAGTATATTATTTTGAGGTGAGAGGTTTGAATCTGCCCAGTGGCACCATGGAAAAAGACCTGATGAGCTACTTCCATAAGATTAACCAAACCATTGTATTCACTTCTTGGTCACAGCCAGCTCCCCAGAGGGAGAAAGTAGTTGAACCGGTGCTCTCGGGACCATAGTCGCAAAGGACATCAAGTTCAATTGGCATAACATACTACATAAAACATTGTTCCACCTCCTACTTTGGAAAGTAGTGACTGGGATCTTAAAAGCTTGCAAGCAGCCATCTAGATGCGACAATGGGTCTCTCCTCATCCAGAGCAAAGAAGAATGAAGAAAACCAAAGATTCATGGAAAGAATTCATCCTAGCGA